ACCCCCAGGGCCGTGAATCGACGGCTCGGGATGAAAAGCCTACCCTGGGGAAAGGGTCGGAACTTCCGGTCTCTAGATCAAGACGTCAGATGTCTGGGGGTGCGGAGCTGGTCCTCGGGGAAGTGCGTCGGGTCAGGGCTCCTGGAACGAGGACGCTGCAAGCCAGGACTTATTCCAGCTGGAGGGCACGAGGAATGGATATTGTTCCGACCCACGGCCTGGCTGCAAGTTTCTCGGGCGCGCCAATGTTTTGGTTTCTAAATGTCCCTGTTTACGGTGCCTTGATCGGGACTTCATGATGTTCCGAGTCGGGGGTCTGGCGGAGAAGGCTGTACAGGTTCATTTCGTTTTTCCCCGCTCCCCGCTCGCAGAAAGGAGCACAACAAACAGACGATGAGGGGGGGAGGAGTGGTGAGTTTTGCTTCCGCCCCGTACAGTCAACCCGCATAGTCAGGATGAGCGATTTTCAATTCCAAGGTTACCCTTACATCCTCCTCCTTCGGCCCATCCGTGGCCCCTTTCGCTGGCCGCGCCCCGCTCGCAAAGTGTCGACATGGCCTTCCGAGGCCGTTGCACCATCAGCGTGTGTCCTGATACAACTGGTTGACTGTCTCCTGACCCGCGGAGGTCGGCAGAGATCTCTAGATTCGGCGCGACTTCTTAGGGGGCGATTAGTGAGGGGGGAAGAAGGTGCCCTCTCCGGACCCTGGAGGCTCCCTTCTGGACACTAAAAGGCCCATTTCGGGGCCCTGAAGGGCCCCTTTCGGCAGCTCTCGCTGCCCCCACAATGTATCGCCCCCCACTAATTCGCGCCCGATAGATATCCTCGGTGGTCCACGCGTGTCCCCTCAGGTCTCCAGAGGCAGAGGCCCCCATCGGCCCTCGAGGGCCCAGAGGGCAAGACTCGGCAGGGGCCTCAGAAGAGGAGGTGGACCTGTGCTGGCGCCGGCGGAGGGTCCGAGGTGGGGCATTGTTGGTTCCAGCCTTGGCTGCCTCGATGCGCCCGTTTTGAAACGCAACGCGCGTCGTGCACAGCACGTCCGTGTCAAGACGTTGCGTGCTGGCTCAACGTATTGGCCCACGTTTTGGCGATCGTATACCAATCAGACATTTTGAGATAGTGCATGAACTTTCATGGGCTCCAGATGTCGCTCAAGAAATTCAAGAATCTGGGCTGGACCCTGGGCGTTTTCTTGGAGCCTCCATCCTTCGTGTACTGCTCGTATATCTGGACCCGATCTACTGCTCAAGAAAACGCTTGGAGTGACGTTCACTTTCTTAGCATAACGTATTCTTAACTCTAACGCCAGACCCACGTTTTCAATATATACGTGTTGAGCTGCGTGCTGACACGCTGCGTATTGCGTGCTGCGCATCGGGGCAGCGCAAGTCCCAGCCGTATTCGAGAGGGGGAGGCGCCCTCTTTGCACAGGTTTCGTGCCCCGCCCCCTCTGGGCCTGCACTGGGTGCTGGGTCTGCTGGATTTTCCATCCTGGCCCGCTTTGCTGGTGCCCATCCAGGGCAGGAGGAGGAGGAGGAGAAGAAGGAGGAGGAGGAAGAAGAGGAGGACAAGGCGGCACAACGCTCCCTACGAGGAGGATGATAAGATGAGAGGAGGAGGAGGAGGAGGAGGAGGAGGAGGAGGAGGAGGAGGAGGAGGAGGAGCGAAAGGAGGCACAGCACTCCCTGCGAGGAGGAGAGGAGGAGGAGGAGGAGGAGGAGGAGGAGGAAGACAAGGAGGAGGAAGTGCATGTGGATGTGTAGGTGTAGATGTAGGTGTAGGTGCAGGTCGGAGGATGATGAAGAGGAGTAGGTGTCGGTCGGAGGAGGAGGAGGAGGAGGAGGAGGAACAGGAGGCACAATGCTCCCTACGGAGGAGGAGGAGGAGGAGGAGGAGGAGGAGGAGGAGGAGAGCGAACGAGGCACAGCACTCCCTGCGAGGAGGATGAGGAGGAGGCGGAGGAGGAGGGAGGAAGACGTGCATGTGGATGTGGAGGTGTAGATGTAGGTGTGGGTGTATTTGTAGGTGCAGGTCAGAGGGGGAGGAGGAGGAGGAGGAGGAGGAGGAGGAGGATGAGGAGGAGGAGAAGAAGACGGAGTTGGATGAGGATGAAGAGAGGGACAAGCAGGCACAACGCTTCCTAGGAAGAGGAGGAGGAGGAGAAGGAGGAGGAGGAGGAGGAGCGAAAGGAGGCACAGCACTCCCTACGAGGAGGAGGAGGAGGAGGAGGAGGAGGTGGATGAGGAGGAGGAGGAGGAGGAGGAGGAGGAGGAGGAGAATAACGTGCATGTGGATGTGGAGGTGTATGTGTAGGTGTAGGTGTATGTGCAGGTCGGAGGAGGAGGAAAGGGAGGCATAGCGCTCCCTACGATGAGGAGGAGGAGGAGGAGGAAGAGGAGGAGGAGCGAAACGAATCACAGCACTGCCTACGAGGAGGATTAGGAGGAGGAGGAGGAGGAGGAGGAGGAAGTGCATGTGGATGTGGAGGTGTATGTGTAG